GTGCTGATAGTCGAAAGTTCAGGCCATTTTTGACTAGAATACCTTTGGGGAATCAAGGCTATATGGAATTTAATGGAAACGTTAGGTTTACTAATATTATTGTGGGCAAATTGAACCACTAATCCTTTGTTTCCTGAAACTAAATAGGGTAAATACATCTCATATATATAATCTACTGGGAGTCTCGAAAACCTACGTATAAATGCAAATAGGGATTAATATATGATTTGTGATATGAATGGCTCACAAAGTGGCACTGCAAAGTTGGGCCAACTGCGGGCTGCAACTGCAATGGAGGTCCTCGCGGTAACTGTGGGGCTGATGGCAACAACAATGCAACCGACCCAAGGGCACAGAGAAATCCAGTCATGTTAGCCCATTCATTAAGTACACCTTCGATTTCATGGTCTGTTGTGATCGGCTGATGGCTGGTCCGCCGCTTCACCGCATGGTAGCGACCTGCAACCCCAATGCCAGTTCCACTTCCAGGATTGCTTATCCCACCGGCACTGTTGATGTTACCAGAACACCCGACATTTCCACAGGATGTACACGCTGCTACGCAAACTCCCCCAGGAGCACCAAGGCTACAGACAACGCCAGTCTCTTCATTTGAGATACAACTGACAGTCTGAGACCCTGCCAGCCCAGCCCCACTAATTGGTCCTCCGATTCCACCAAGTAGTGATGAAATTGGGCCACTTGCACCTCCTAGGCCAGCTGGAGTTCCGAGAAGGCTAGTCCCTATACCACCGCCAAGCCCTAAGGAAAGAACCCGGGATTCCGAAAACCCGAGACCAGGAGTACAACCGCCGCCGCTGCCAGCGAGACCACTTGACAGACACGTGTTTTGCGTAAGGCTGACTGCAGATGCGGCAGAACTAGATAAATCTCTGAAAGAATTACTGGAAATGGGCATGGCTCCACTTGGTACACCTGGCGCCAAGCTGGCGCCCACCACACTACCGACGGCTGCAGCAGCTGCAGAAACGACTCCACTGACACCGGCATTGGCAGCGCCACCAAGACTTCTAGGCACGGCGTCGCAATAAGCTTCATCGTTAGAGGTCGAGGCTTTTGATTTGGGATAGTTGAGTAGAAAACGAGTACTACGGATCCAAATCATATAGGTATGGTCCCATGCCTAAATTTTTTTTTAATTAGACAAGTTTCAAATTTTCACTTAATTAAATTAAGCAACAAAGAAAATAGCAAGATGAATTACTACCATCGCTGAGTAAAAAAGAAAAAAAACGATAAATCGAGAACGATTTCAATCTAAGCATTGAATGTAACGAAAGAAGGCGAAATAGCTAGGAAAACTCACATCTTATATGGCGTAATATTCAAAAAATATATACTTTAGCATACTATAGAATCCAAATGTATGGTAATTAGTCATTCGACCAACAATATGGGATATATATAAATATATATACTAAGTGAGCCTTTAGGAAGCAAGGTATAATAAACTTATTGAGAAAGTGAGACATTTTCTTCACGTACTCATTAGCAGCCTAATTATGGGCCTTGGAAAAATTAAAATATCTATATTATTATTGTAAATATAATGATGATTTCGAAGGTCGAAAAAAAAGATATTTTATTTTATTCCCTTACGTTTCTCTAGTTAACCTATTTAGAGTATGCAATAAGCTTTTGCATGTTGTCATTTTTTTAATAAATGCTGTTCTAATACAAAAAAAATAAGATCTTGACAAACCAGTTTGTTTCCTTGGGTCTGATGGTTAACTCTTCTCAGCAGCGCCAAAATTTGCTTTTGTAAATGAGCTCGGCCCGTGGTAATTATCGAGCGGCTGTGGTCTGCGATTTCTGAGTATATTGCATAAACTGGCATTAAATCTGGCAGCCTAAAATCAGCCGCTGCCCATTGGCCAGCAGGATTAGCTGGTGGATCACCACTAGCTTTATCGCAACAAACAGTTACCGATGGTGCAGTGAGATGGCAACAATTACATAAGCAATGCAGCTGCTCTTTGTGGTCCAGATGATTTTGTTGCGAAATCTCTGCTGAACAAGAGTGATGGTGATGATGTCGTTGAGATTGAAATTGCTTATGATGGAAATGATTGCCTTGAGGGTACTGACAAATAACAGGGGACGAAGAGGTGAAGGATGATGAAGATGGAGAGTTTGCCTGACAGCTGGAAGACTCAGTTACAAGGCCTACCCCACTATTAATTTCACTGATTGACGCAGCTACCTTGGGGCCACCAGCTAGCCCAGCACAAGCAAAGGGGCAGGCAGCAGAGCAGAACCCGGCCGCATTAGGCTTACTGGGGGCCACAGCAGACCAGGAGGCAGGCGCTGCTAGTTCAGCATAACCTTGAGGGCCGAAGTCAATGCGACACCTCGATGCAGACTTTGGAAAGCTGCAACAAGTCAGGCCATAAACAAGAGCATTGTTGCCGCTGTCGCCATCACCACGGACTGAGCAGTAACAGCAACAACAGCAGCAAGTAGCCAAACACTCTGATGAAGACTTCGGTGAGCAATTCTGGCCGAACATAGGCGTGAGCGCGCCAGAAGTCAGAGGCGGCCACCTGAAGTTGGTCGTCGGCTGACCGGTAGACGATTGGAACTGGCCGCAACAGGCTGAAGGGGAGAACACAGAGGATCCTGGTTGACAGTTTTGAGCCGAATCGACAGACGTGACGGCTGAAAAAGCAGGAGAGCAGGTCGAGGCAAAAGCAGAAGAATTTGAATTAGGGAATACGGCGGAAGCAGCACAACATAATAAACTCCCTGATGAAGCAGCCATTGCGACAGCTGCAGCACTGCTCCACAGCTCAGCCTCATGGCAAAGCAACCTGAAGCAAGACATGGAGGTGAGCACGGCGTCTAGATCGAGGGACCAGAGGTAAGTAAAGAAGACCGTCTCCAGTTTTACCAATGCCATTTGATTTCGCTTTGGGTTTACGCCCAATGGCCCGAGAAAAGGTGAGCTCGCTGCAAGGCCAGAGCTAGCTCCAAATGGCCAAGTCGCCGATGGTACAGATGTGCCAACAGGAAAAGGAGGGCCATCGAGTTTTTGAGCTTGAGTTTTGAAAAAAGAATAATTGTTTTCAGGATTGTAAGAAAAGAGAGATGGATAACGAAAATAGGACATGTAAGATAATTTTGAAAAAAGTTGAAAATAATAAGATTGAACTTTATCAATAACACAGTTAATATGAATACAAATAAATTAAATGAAAACAGTTATTAATCAGCACAGCGTTTGGAAAACAAGCTATTTTCAAAACAAGTGGAAACGACTATATAGTCTGCGTTATTTTAACTCCGAGTGACAAACTTTCAAAATTGTCTAAATAATTATTTCATCTCTCCTAGCCTTGTAAACAGCCCAGGATTTTGGTATCGTTACAATTAAAACCCTATAAGAAGAAAAATTTTTTATTTTTGTAAAATCGAGGACTCCATTTATATAGCTAATTTAACGGCAGAACACTCTTAGCTCTATGCTTAATAACAAGTTTACAGAGTATCGATATATGTACTGGCACAAATAGGGAAGTGTGAATAAAAAAGGTAACGTGGATCAATACTTATTCACTCAGAGTTCTATTCATTCGTAAAAGACGCTGTAAATTATGCTAAAATGTAAGCGATGCGCATTCTTTTCCACAATGTGTTATATTCACAAAGGCATTTTTCTGTTAAGGCCTCAGTCCTCAGGCAAAAATTTCAAGTTGCCGAATCATCACCATTAAAGGCCTTCAGCTGAGATTGTGAACGTAAATAGCTTACAAAGTAGTACGCAACTAAGATGGATGCCAGAGTGTAACAAAAGTAGGTAACACCAAACCATCAGTAAATGAAGACCAAGATGGACACAGTTTCCTTTACCTTAATAGTGATGGTTCGTCTTTGGTTACGCAGCTTGGTCGGGAGATTCATGGAAACCTTGTAGAACGTACCTAGTACCGTGTCCTCCGCCATGGAATTCGTGATTTAAAGTATTGGACCACTGACTGGGTACATTACCAAACGTTTCGCGGGCATTGAAGTCGCATTCGTCAGTGAGAGGCACCATCGTAAGCACAGAATTACAACTTACCAGTGACAAGTGAAGGCAATTTCCTTGACCAAATTTCGATTCAAACGTTCTGGCATCACTCATCGCCTCTATTTTTATACTAAATTCTAGTGCCACATCTCTTTCTCTCAGCCCCATTTATATGACCCATCCACTTATTCACACAATTCTGTGATCTCGTTTCCTCAAGAGCCGCCTAGGAGTGTGTCGCTAAAAGTGGGTTTGGTGAAGCGAAATCATCTCCACAAGAGGTATTAGATGACGTTTGCTGGGCTCCTGACCTACATTCTTCCCCCCCTTTCTTTCCTACCGGCTTGTCAATTGACCTATGCTAAACCTCAAAATCATTAGGTATGGAGAAAAACTAAGTTACGAAGACACCCTTAATAGATTCATGTTGAAGTACCTTTCATTTCGTGTGAAGAGTCGAGTGGAAGGGATTCGTAATTTGGTTCCAAAGGAGGCTGTGGAGGGGTCGCCTTGGAGTTGTGGTTGTAGATTTGTACAAATAGGTCCTCAGCTCACCGCATCGCGGCCCCGATAAATCCATGCTAGGCTTTCGTCCACCATGTGGCGAACATCGTTAGAGAAGGACCCAATGGTTAACGATAATTCAGTAAAAACGAAGGTAAGAAAAGTGGCCGGCTTCGAACCTACTTCCTTCTTATATTCCAATTTAGTCCATTTAAAAGTTGTTTGACCTTGTTTTCGCAACTCGGTCATATTGATAGGAAGACTTAGAGGAACGCACCTAGTCCGGAGTCCATTGTATGCAACATCATTCCCAGAGTAGGACCGTGGACATGGTACATTCCCAGACGTTTCGCCGGCATCGTATTCGGCATCGTCAATGAGTCTCGCAATTCGTAGCACCATATTACAACTCGTCAAAGGGACAAGTGAAGAACC